TCTTTAGAAACATCGTAGGGACGTACCATTTATGTCAAAAACATAAAAACATACATAAAATATATAGATCAGTGTTATTAGGGTTTACAAGAGATGGTTGTCTCGACTGCATTGGAGTAGCAAACGGTTCCGGCTGGACGACGTAACGTATTTTTTGACAATTATAAAACACTGCAAAATTGGTAAGACCAACAAATAATAATCCAGTTTTACATTTGGGACTAGACCCCCTTAACTTTGCAAGGGAAAACGATATTAAAATCTTGTAATTTCCATCACATTGCTCGCATTGTTTACAACCATTGGACATTAGCGTTTATGAACCCTTTAAGAAACAATTATTTGCAGTTCAAGATGCCTGGATGATGAATAACCCAGGAAAGTCTATGACTATTTGTAATATACTTTATCTAATAAAAGAAGCATTTCCTAAAGCCATTATCTCTACAAACATTAGCGACTGGAATTCGACCTTTTAATAGAGACATCTTTCCAGAAAATAATATCTTGCCTTCTTCCGTTACGGATCAACCAATTGAAGATCCTACTGTTAAAACTATCATTGAAGGTTCTAATAATAAAAATATCAATAAGGTTTAGTCGACTACTGAATCTCAAGATATTTCTGATAAAAATATCCCAAACGAAACTCTTAATAAGGATCCTCTTAAACATTTTGCAGTTGAATCTACTACTACTTGTACTAATGCAACTGATAGGCCTTCAACAACTAAAGCCGTTACACATCCAAAAAGAACACTATGCACAATGATGTTGCTGCTGTGTCCTGCACATCGAGAGGTGTCCCTTTTTTTACTCAAGAAATTGTAAGACCATTTCCTAACGCCGAACCTAGAAAACCAACTAACAAAGTTAGAAGAAAGAGAAATTCAGCAATATTAACTGATACCCCAGTGAAAGAAAAATTAGAATGGATAGAAGAAGAAAAGAAAAATATAAAAAGAATATAAATAGTGTTGTTGGAGGAAAAAGTAAGAGTGTTAGTAAACCCTTATAGAAAAAAGTAAAAAACGAAAATCAGTAAACCCACTATCGAATCAGATGAAAATAAATAATTTTGTTTGGTTTGCTGCGAATTATATGGGTTCGATAAACCGGGTAAGCAGTGGGTCATGTCTATGATGTGGGCACCTGAACTGTTTTAATAAACTCGGACGTCGTGATAAGTTGTAACAAATGTCTTCTTTTATATTAAAAATAATTTCAGTAATAGGTAGTCAAAATAATGGAGACTTGTTAACGGTAGTGATAGTCGAAACACCACTGTTTCATTTGATACCAAAAACATGTTTATATGTGAATAATTTTAAAAGTTATTGAACTATGACTATTTTTTGTTTCAACTAACCCCGGTCTCCCCTACACTATTTCGAAAAAGGAAGAGAGAAATCTTTGGCCAAAAGAGTTTTAAAACTGCTACTACTATAAAGGTAGAAGAATATTCAGGTGATTTTTGAATGGTATTGTAATTTATTTTAATCGTTTAAAAATGTAAAAAATTTCAGTACCTCTTCCAGTGTTGTTTTTTTTTTGTTATCATAATTTTGTATTTTTTGGTGCTTATTTCTTGTTCAGCTACATGAGATTTCTTTAACACATTTGTTCCCTCTTGCTCTTTACACGTAGTAATTCTATGCACAAAATAATAATCAACAGCGACGGAGATCATTTTAATTTTTTTAGAAACCCTAAGGAGTTCTTGTCGAATTAATTTTAAATGGATTTTAATCCGGGAGACGCAGTTATCTCTTGGTTAGAAATAGAATTTGTGCAAATAATTACAGAAATCTTCAACTGTAAATTCCGACCTCTTATAGAGTTCGGCATTAAATTTGTAATCATAGATGGAAAACAAAGTATATGTAGATTTATGAGCTAAAACAATGTTTTCTTATTATTTATTTTTTTCCAAAAAGTTTTAGGCAAGAATGCCGATCAAGGAGAAGTGACAGCTTGGTGTTTATAGTGTACACTTTTTGTACGCGCATGTGTGAAAATAAATGTATCACTCAAAATCATGTTATCTGTCAGTCAGTCCAAGTTGTGTTTAGTCCGTGAGCTGATGTAAGTGATATTTTTTGGTGTTTCTTTTGTGTTGTAATAATATGAATATTTTTTACACACATAATAATAATAATAATAATGATAATAATAAAAGCTTTTATTGGCAAAGAACAAAAAAAACAAAATACAGATAAGTATAATACAATATTTGCCAAAAGGTACAGTTAAGTCTACTCCTTGCAAGCAAGGGTAAGTCCTCTCTTCCACACTAATTAAAAATAATAATAATAATAATATTGATAATAATAAGCTAGATAAAAACAAGCTAAGTTCAAGTCATTCCATGTTAATGACGCAGAAATAATAATATAATAAATAGACAACGAAAATATATAGCACAAGTTTTTTATTTTATTTTTATAGTGCTCAATGAGCAAGTAAGAAGATGTCTTGGAAACCTGTTGCACAGCTTGATTATATTATACGAAGAGAATGATTCGAAGAGGGAAGTAGACTGAATAGGCGGCGTCAAGTGAGAGCGAAAACGTACGTTGATATGGTGTACGTCTGATCTAAATTGTATTTTATTGACAAGATACGATGGTTCTTTATAGATAATTAACTTATGATAAAATATAAAACAATGTAACAAGATTCGTTTTTCAATATTTAGCCACCGTAACTCAGTTAAAGCTTCAAAGATATGGTCGCGTCTTTTTAAACCAGAAATCAAACGCACACAAGAGTTCTGTACTAATTGGAGTCTAGGCAAGTCACATTTAAGCAGTGCTGGACCATATACTTAATCGGCAAAATTTAAATGGGACAATACCAAAGCTTCACTTAAAGTAATTTTACTTTTTTGGTCTAAGAGGCTCCTATTGGCAAACATTAACTTTACATTGCAGTAGGCTCTCTTAAAAAATAAGTTAACATGTTGCGTATAATTCAAAGAATCAAACCAAGATTTTTTTGAACTTTCAACTAATGGTATCATTTATGTTTAAGATAAGATAAGAAACTAACTATTGTGTTATTTAAATGTAATTATATCCAACGTCACAAAAATATAAAGTGAGGAATATTAATTAATATTATTATTAATGTTGCATTTTTGCATTGCATTTTTCGTAAATGCTTTTGCATATTTTTCGCAAATCAATTGCAATAAAATGCGCATTTTTTTATATTTTTGGTTGCATTTTTCCGGTCCTTGCGTATGTGTATTTTCAGTGAGTGATCTATGGTATTGGTGTGTAAGTCATATATCCATATTCGTTAATTTGTGTATACATGTTTAAAGATATTGATTAAAAGCATAGATAAGTTTGTATTTATGTTTTATTGTAGATTTTCCTTTAGTTATTTCTGCATTTATAACAACTACTGTTTTATCACTAAACGCTTACAGAAACTCTATAACATAACTTCACTTTCTAACTTTTGGTTTTCCCATTTTAATAAACATTTTTAGTTCTACATATTTATTCCTCACATTTATTTTCCATTTTTTATTCGTCTTTTGATTTTTATTTTATAAAATTAACGAAATTACCCTCTATGTGAGGGTTATTTGGGAGTGTCATCATCCTCTTTATATTATTCTACATAGAAAGTCATCAAATATCCCTTTGAGAATTAGGTGTCTTCTAAAGCTGCAGTGTCCCTTAAGGACTCCTCTTGCATTGCATTATTTAGTTCGTTTCTGTAATATTCTGGACTGCTTGAGTCTAGGAAATTCCAACCAGAGCTCTATTTATTTTTTCCATTATCACCCATTTAACTGGTTAATATGAAATACCACATATCGTCGCCATAAAGTTAAAACCTCGTATCATCAAATTACCAGATTGCCAGGAAACACTAAAAACTTTTTTTCCTGTAATTGTTAATTTAGTAAAAGTAGCTTATCTATGTAATAGAAAAAGGGAAATCAAAGGAAGTCGAAAAGATGCCAAATGGTTAAAGATATATATTTTTAAAATTCTCTAAAAAAAAAAATTACATTCAGTTACGCCAAAATATGAGTTACGAGGTTTTAACTCTACAACGACGATATGGGTTCTAATCCAATAAGAGCTTTTGTTAGCTTCTTTCCTGGCTAGGAGGTGTGCTTTCTCATTTTCCAATACTCCATCGTGTCCCGGCACCCGGCACTTATTCAAGAGTGCGATCTTGTTATGTTCTGTCAGAGCCTGGAGGGACGGTTGGCCGTCCAACATTAATTTGGATTTAACTTTTCCCCTTTCTAGCTCTTTAAGGTCTGCCCGACTGTCATAATAAAGACCCTCTGAACTCCTAAAAATAATCTGAGTCTAGACATGTATTGCTGTTATTTCAACCTGGAAGACTCTTTTGGGTGATTCCAGGTTTACACTAATTGTCCTCCCTGAGTTCGTATGGTAAATGCCAGCTACTGTGCTGTTTTTCTTCTTCGAACCATCTGAATAATACCAGATTGATTCGTTTTGTATTTTCCTATTTGTTTGGCTTTTGGCCCTTTCTGGTATTGAAATATCGAAGAATTATTAGTAACACCGGATTGTGTTTAAATATTTATGAACAGTCTTTCTATCATAAGGTGAAGTAGATGAAGATCTAGCAGTAGCTCCATTGTTGAAGTGGACGTACTTCTAAATGCCCCTGTTGTTATTAGACTGGCAAGTGTTTGTACCTTAAATAATTTTTTGCTAGCTGTTATGCTTTTAGCCTTGTGCCACCACATGACTAACGAGGTTACATCTATCAACTTCAAAGAACTCTTAGGAAGTATTTTTGGTTTAAGATAATTTACGTTAAATCGACATAAAATCAAGTCTAATACCTGAGGTTTTCGTTTAGCAGGCAAATTCTAGGATATCCTGTAAATTCGGAAATTGGTCCCTTTAATTTTTGGTCTATACATCCGATTTTTATGTGATACCTCGTCCGTACAATGGATTAAAAAAATCAAAGTTTTGGTTTAATTTTAAAAAATGACAAGGTGTCGAATTGGTAAATCCAAATACACACGCCAATTTCTTCTTAAATGATAAATTAAGTAAATAAACAGTAGATGTTTATTTTTGATTCGTCCTTCTATCACTTAAATTGAAATTTACTATTCTGAAAACGTTCCCAGGCTAAGCAAATCAAGTCATTGTGAATCTCGATTGACACCCACGAGAAAATCAATATGGCCAGCGCCACAATGGGGCTTACGTACGGTTTCGAGAGCAACAAGTGTTTCCCCCAGAAAGCGAATTCAAAAACACAATTGTTGAATTGTTTTTATCTCGCCTTCACACTCTCATAAAATTTTATTGCTTCTTTCGAACCTTCACGCTAACTGTAAATAATCTACGATAATTGATATTTTGTACTTTCAATTATCGAATTACAGCGATATTTCTTTTTCTAGATATTTTTTTACCCCATCTTGCAAAAATTATATGAAAATATTCACAATTAAAACTTCAAGCACATATCGCTTATTTACTCCAAGAACTTCATAACATAAAAAAATTATTTTTGCCGGAGAATAATAAAATATAATAATGTGACCTAATCGAGTACCGTATTATTGTAAAAGTATGGTTACTGGTCACAATACGAAATAAAACGCTGAGGTCAAGTTGGCCAGAATGTCTCTCGTTTGTGCTCATTGGGTCCATAGTATTCAGCATTTTCGAGATATGGCCTCCGAAAATATGCGATGCCAACTTGACGGTAGCAACGCTTTAAATGGGCTTGTCATACAAACGATTGGGCCAGATTCAGTTACCAATGGACTCAATAGGCCAGCAATTTGTTGCGTTTCGGCTCATACGGTTTTCGAAATATGACCTTTGAAAATATGCGATGTCAACTTGACGGTAGCATCGCATTGAATGGGCTGGTCGTACAAACCATTGGACCAGATTATGGGTATGGGTTAAACATACTGCGGTGAGCTGACTAACTAAGAAATAATGAAACTGATATAACAACTTTATTAATGCGTCGCTAAAATATTTTTGTTTTAAAATAATAAAACAAATTTGTGTCTCGCAGCAAATTTCAGCTTACCGCAGGCCTTTAACAACAAAGTATTAGATTGATTGACTTCTGTAAAGAAGATCAATCGAAATTTGTTGAACTCGTCCTCATGTAGTATCGCGTTAGTCATACCTCTTGGTGTTTGTTAAGTGATAAAGCAATGTTTACCAGATATCCCTGTCATACAGGTATCTTCATTACGTAATGGGCCATGTTCACATGAGAGATATGCTGTTTTATAAATTATATTGTAATAGTTAGTCACTATACAAGTTATTCTAAATAATCAGTTTGTTAAAAAAGACAAAACATTTTTAAGTAAAACCATTTATAATTTAAAATTTGAAATGTGTACGTCATCGGGAATAGAGCAATCAGCTTGTGTTGAAGTTTTGTTTGTTATACAGAACCAAGCCAACGAACAAATTGACATATAGAATGTGGAAGTGTACGCACATCTTAGTGATACTTAAAAATTGACACCACATAGACCACTTAACCTAACATTTGTTGTTGTTTTATTTCTTTTTTCTCGATTATCGATTTATTTATTTTGTCTTTGCTAAGTGGTTTAATGTTAATATTAATATGAGTTTGTCAGCTGGATTTATAAAAGCTTATTCAAGTGTTTTACCCATTGTAGACCAAGACAAGACTACTGCATTTTTATTAACAATACTTAGTTTATAAGTGCCAAAATTAAGCATGTTAAGACAGAAAGGTATGTAACACTTTATTTATAATTTGTTTTAATAGTAAGTACAGTTTATATGAGATAATACACCTCATATTAAAAATATATTTATCTCAGGTCATTAGGGTTGTCGAACAGTAACAGTTTTTCAAAAATAAACATTTTACCTTTACCTCATTTATATGTATAATAAAAAAATATTAGAGTACACTGATATCCACAAATACAACACTATAAATTGGGTACGATATATCTGTACCTTGAAACAACAAGGGCCAATCTCTAATTTGAGCAAGAAAGCGACGTTTAAAGCTGTGCTGTCGGCATTATTTCTATAATTAGAAGTAAAAGTATAATTATGTTAAAAAAACCAAAAAAGGTTGACAGCTGTGTGCACGTAGTTTAGATTCAAAAAGGAAAAACTTGTATTTCGTGCAAAACTTTTTTATTAATCAATGCAAAGCGCTTTCAGCTTATTTGCCATCATCAGTGCTCATCTACAAAAATTGTGGATGTAAACTTACAATTTAAAAAGATTTAAAAAAAATTTATAAAATCAGAATTAGACTTTTAAGTCAAAAGTTAAAATAGTATATATACAATTGTTTGAACGAATTAAAAATTACAAGAAACAGACAAAGTGACAAAAAAACCTGGTATTGGGAATAGTGAGTGTGGGATAAGCCCCTACAAATCAAATCTGATCTCCAAAAGCAAGTTAGCTTGTGTGGAATTAAGGAATCATGCCACCCTCACTATTCACAAAATTGAAAAAAGGTTAACAAAATTAATTAAAATTTAAAGAAATTTACAATTAGAGGTTGACTGTGGAATATATATTTAAATTTGAATCTATAATGCAATATTTGATATGAAGAAAGTAAAACGCAGAAGGCCAAAGTAAAAAAAAACTGAAGGTTTTTTTTTATATGTTTTATATACATTATAATTATGAAAAAGTCTACCTACTGTCCACAACATATCCAACAAGTTCCTGGTCATCCTCACTCCCAAAATTATAAATTTCGGGATGTTTACAACTTGCTAAATCATAATTTTATTAATATTAATATTTTCAAATTTAAATTTATCTCATTTTGGTTCAAGTTGTTTAACCGTTTCCACATGTGGTGACAAGCGACACTTGAAGACTTTGACTTGTCAAATGTCAACAGAAGGAGGTGCGTTCACCTCAGTGTGGAACATGTTTCTCCGAGTGTGATTCGAGTGATTGGAGGTTAACGGAGATCAAAATTTGTTATTGAATTTAAAGATTTAATTTATTGTTATTTAAATTTAAATAAATGTTTAGTATGAAAGATATTATTATTTTGATGTCAGGACAAAACAAAAATGTCACTCGCGTGATTCAGATGTGTCAACCCGGGCTCTGCAGAACATTCTTTCAGAGAACCCAAGATGGCACAACTAGGGACCGCGGGTTCAGTTGGCGAGGATTTTTTTATTTAGTTTAAATATTTAAAATTAATTTTGATGTCTTGATATGATTCCTCACTTGACCATTCACTGTTGAGTTCTAATTAACAGTGCTGTTTTTAAGTGGTGCTGGGAAATAGTAACACAGCCTACATAGAACACGAGGCTAATAACCTTAGTAGTTGATGCCGATGACATCAAATTAAAAAAAAATACAACTAATTCACACAGAAATGTAAAAGGTTTATGTAAGCTACACTTTCCTTCTGATAAATATCATTGAGGATTTTAAAACCACTGTTGGACAATCCTAAATATACCTTTAGTTTATTTTCAATTATTTTGAGAGTTCGTTGGTTTTGAAGATCCAGCTCATTATTATTAAGTCCCTCTGAATCAGATATTAAAAATGTTTTTTTCTGATTCAGACAAAATTTCACTATCTTCAGATCTTTCAGGAGGTTCCGAGGGAGGGTTTTTATACACCTTCGAACTTATAGTAAACTCATTTTAAATTTCCTGAAGGGGCAATGTAAGAAATTACTGCTGCATCTCAAAGATCCGGTGTATTTTTATTAAATAGAAATGAAAAACGCTTCTAGTAGAAGGTTATTTTCCAGTCAACTTTTTAGAAGACATTTTTTTATGTTTTTCTTTTATTGGTAGAATCAGTGAGCTGGCCCTTGTACAGTGAATATTAAGAACTTTGGAGACATTTGTGTGATACTACCCACTTCTTATATGTAAAGGTGTGTCCATCATTTAAAAAATGAACAGTTATGTAAATCATTATTACATCTTGGAAGGAAACATTTTTTCGTACTCATAATATTTATAAAAACATCATCAAAATTAAATAATTGTCGATTGACACAACACACAAATTCTTGATTAACAGATGACACATACAGTTCTGTCGCATTACAATTTTCTTGTTTATTAGTCGTCGTTTTTTAAAACAATGAAACTATAAATATGGTAAAGGTTTAAACATAAATAATACTTTTAAAATCATTCGATATTTTATATTTAAAAGATATTTGTTTAACGATATTTTAGAAGTATAAAAGTAAGACGGTGCATACAAACGAACGTATATTACTTCTTGTATACCGTCTAACTGGCAACGTTGTGTGGCTAGTTCCTATTGGTCTATTCTCGGCTACGTCATAAATTTAAAAAAATTCGTAATCCAGGCAAATGAATAGATATAAAAAAAAATTGTAGCTTTATTTTGAAATGTATTATTTAATAAAAAAATTCAAAATTTTTGAACATGCCCCATTGGCGCACACAAGGATCGCTACAGGAGGGTGAAGTTCAACTGATTTTTCTTACAAATAAGTCAATCAATCTTATAATTTGTCTTCACTCACTGTACAATTATTGATCACCATATAGACTTTAGATAAAATACTTGGCGATTATTTTAAGGAAAATGTTGATTTTAGTTATTTATTTCCTTGGGTACCTACATAATAATTGTGAATATATTGTATTGGGAATAAGTATAATAAGAACAACCATTAAAACTAAAAAATCATATATGCACTTCTAATTATCGAATTATTTTTCTATCTCAGATTTATGACCACATAATTATTGTAAAACCTAAAAAACACTTGTTTTTTCGTCTAACATTACTTCATAATTCTAATAAACTTAGCAAAGTGACATGAATCGTTCTCTCCGGTGTGTCTCAAGTTGGCACATGTCGCGGCTTTTGCTATTTTAGTCGGTTTCTTTATACAGATGAAAAATCTTATTTTCCGTACTGTAACGTATATCTGGGAGTCGCTGGTTTACACTATATAACAAACCACACACAATTTCTTTGTCTTTTCAA